ACCCCATCTCCAAATCATGGGTGGGATAATTCGCCTCATGATGCTTCAGTTGCCTAGAAACATAAGCTATCACATGACCCCTTTGCATCAATATTGTACCCAATCCTAAAATCGACACATCGCAATATACCACGACATCATCCACATGCTCTGGTGGTGTCCAAATCAGAGCTCTACATAACTTCTGCCTCAAAGTATCAAATGTTGCTTGCTGCTTAGGCCCACAATGGAAATTAACCCATTTCTTTGTCAACCTGGTCAACAGAACTACGATCCTGGAAAAATTCTCAATAAACCTCTGATAATACCCAACTAAAAAAAGAAACTTCGAAACCTCCCACTAAATCACGACCTCGATCATGGCCGGATCATCAAATATACCCTTCTTGTTTACGAGGTGCCCTAAGAACTGCACCTCACGCAACCATAACTCACACTTAGAGAATTTGGCATAAAGCCTTACCCTCCTCAAGATCTCTAAAACCTCTTGCACATGTTCCTCATGCTGATCCTTGGTCTTAGAATGGACTAAGATATCATCAATGAGCACAATCACTGACTAATCCAACATCGGCTTGCATACCCTGTTCGTGAGGTCCACAAACGCTACTGGTGCATTGGTGAGCCCAAAAGGAATCACCACGAACTCCTAATGATCATAACGAGTCCTAAAAGTTGTTTTCTGAACACCCTCATCGTGAACCCTCATCTAGTGGTAGCCTAAACATAGATCAATCTTGGAGAACCAAGACGCACCCTGTAACCGGTCGAACAAATTATCAATCCTCGAAAGCAGATAACAGTTCTTTACTGTTAATTTGTTCAACTCTGGGTACTTGATGCACATCCTGCGGTATCCATCTTTCTTCTTCACAAACAGTATCGGTGCTCCCAATGTGAACTACTTAGTCTGATAAACCCCTTATTTAACAGGTCCAACAAACGTGTATACAACTTTTGCATATCGGGCGGTACTAACTTGTAAGGTGCCTTGGCTCTCGAAGCCGCACCTGGAACCATATCAATACATAACTCAACCTACCTCTCTGGAGGCACTCCAGAAAGTCCTCCAGGAACATATCAGAATATACTTGGATGATTAGCACATCATCAATCCTCCTCTTTTTCTCCTCCATAATATCAAATATATAAGCCACAAAACCAGAACAACCCTACTGAAGGTACATCCTAGCTCTCGCAGCTAAATAAAGAGTTGGCCCTCGCTAAGCACCCTCACCACGGATGACTAGTTCTCCATCACTTAGGGTTCGAACCAGAACTAAGTGGTGCTCACAATCAATTATTGCCCCGTTAGGGCTCAACCAATCCATCCCCACGATAACCTTGTTCTCGTACAAGTGAATAGGAACCAAATCAATCGGATATCACTTGCTAAATAAATCCAGAACACAACCCCGATGAACTCTCGATACTCACATGGGACGATCGTCAACGATCTCCACCTCTAATGGATACTCAAGCTCACCTGGAGCATCACCGAATCTCTTGCTGAGCGCAAGAGATACAAACGATTGGGTGTCGCCCGAATAAAAAGGACTAAAGCTAAAACACCATTCACTAGCAACGTCTCTATATAATATCATATATATATATATATATATATATATATATATATATATATATATATATATATATATATATAAGCGTAAACATCAAAGCAATAAATAAAATAAGGGAAAGATACATACTAGTAACCACATCTGGTGCTGCACGAGACTCCTTGGCTATCAGCTAGAAAGCTCAACTTCTCAAGACTGGCACATTCGCCTTGCCTTGGCGGCCGTCCATGATCCTCAATGTCGCTGACGCGGGGCTATAACCGCTCCTCTTGCTGAGCTCGAACAACTGTCCCTTTTTGTGACCTTCTGTTTGTAATGAACCAAATCAGATCATATACATGGGTGGTAGTGGTGGTAGTGGAGGTGCAGTCCTAGTTGTAGTGTCCCGTCTTTCTACATCTAAAACAACTAGAACCACCCACCCTACAAAACCTATTATGCGTCTTGACGTACTTGACACATCGGCTCCGACCCTACCGGTCCCTCGATTTATAATAAAAAAACCCTCGACAGCTCGACTCCTTAGTTAAGCACTCTGATACCTGAGCCTGAACCAACTTCCTCTTCCTCATAATCTCCAGATCAATCTCCCGCTCACAGGCCCTCACTATCATGTCCTCCAAAGTCCTAAAGCTAGATGTCTCAGACCGTTGGGTGAACCGGTTACTATAATTTTCTTATTTTTTCCTATTTTCCTACACACACATACATACTACATAAATACATGCATAAATCAAAAATTTGACGTCCATGAGTTTAAGTATTAAAAATACACATAAAACAACTTGTAAATCGATCCAAATACGTTAAAAAAACACACAACCATAAATTTTACATCAATCCATGTGTTTTTATTCAATTTAACCGGTTCAAACAGTTAAATTTTAATTGGTTCAACCGGATTTTTGTAAAAACCGATCAGTTCATTCCGATTCAGAAATAAATATAAAATCGATGTTAATTAAATCGTTTCCCGGTTTTTGATCAAACCCGTTCAACCAACCAGTTAAAATCGATTTTTAATACATTGAAATAAACACAAAATAAGATCACTTAACATGAAAGTTATTTAAACCATTTGGGGAAATGCCAACCAAATTGGGGTGCTCACACATCATGGTTATGTGTGCTGACGACACGTTTGGTCTCGCACGCTTCTCAAAACAAACATAAAGCAAAACAAAATACGTGTCAACATGACTCAGATCCTACTCGACATGTGTCTTTATAAGTGTGGGTCTTTCTGCCACGTGGAAATCATGATGACGCGACAATCCAAGATTTATTGGACACCATAAAAATTAAATTAAATTTTATAAAAAAAACGGTATATTATATTACTCGATTTGTGTATGGCACGTTGCACTCGCAAACATGTAGAATATTAAAAAGTTATAAAACAAAATATAAATTAAAATTTCGTCGCTGAAAAATATTATGAATTTCGGTCATAATTATTATTTTTGGCTCCACTAATACATTTGTTCACATAGTAGGTACACAATTGTATGATTAATAACCCATTTATTTCAAAATTGTAATATTCAAAGAATGATATATATATATATATATATATATATATATATATATATATATATATATATATATATATATATATATATATATATATATATATATATATATATATATATATATCATTCTTTGAATATTACAATTTTGAAATAAATGGGTTATTAATCATATATATATATATATATATATATATATATATATATATATATATATATATATATATATATATATATATATATATATATCATTCTTTGAATATTACAATTTTGAAATAAATGGGTTATTATATATATATATATATATATATATATATATATATATATATATATATATATATATATATATATATATTGTTAGGTTCATGTGAGATCGTCTAATTTTGTGAGACCGTAAGACGTATTTTTTTATATTTTTTTTAGTTAATTCAAGTTTCAAAAATAATATTTTAATTTTTTTTTGATTTTTCCATTTATTTTGCATTTCAAAATTATTTTTTAGAATATGTACAGTATAATATTCTATTAGAATACTTCACGTATTTTAAAAAAAAAGGATTTTTTTAGTTAATTCAAATTCCGAAAATAATATTTAAAAAAATAATTTTTAGATATTTCCATTTATTTTGCATTTTAGATTATTTTTTAGAATATGTCAGTGTAATATTTTATTAGAATAGTTCACGTATTTTTCAAAAAAAAAAACGGGATTTTTTTTTATTTTTTTTAGTTAATTCAAGTTCCAAAAATAATATTTAATTTTTTTTTTGGATTTTTCCATTTATTTTGCATTTTAAAATTAGTTGTAGACTTGGTCTTAGGGTCTTACAAAATTAGAAGGGTCTCAAATGAACCTGAACATATATATAGGTTATAATGTGGATTGTAATTATTGTGTGGATGTAGGGATTAATATGAGTCAAGAGTTTAAAATATATATTCTAATAGAATATATATTCTGATTGAATAAATATTGTTAAGAATAACAAAATTTTGAACCATGAGTTGAAGAATAACAACATTTTTAAAGGATACTCATCTATTATTAATATTATTGAGAATCTAAGGTCAAAAAATAAATAAAAAAAAAATTTTACCGTCATATTCTAGAAAAATACAATATCAAATTTTGAATTTTTGCCATGTTCTGTAAGAGTACAAGCTTTATAGTAAGTTATTCTTGAAAAAATCGTCATTCTATAAGACTACAATGTCATTCATGATAGAACCTTCATTCTCATTCTTCCTAGAAGAAAATTTATTTCCTTTGACTTTAGATCTTCAACTAACGAGTAAATAAAGATCCGTATTAAAAAATAAAAATAAGCATATGGATAAGATTATACAAATGAAGATGACATTTTTTTAAGAATGATTCTTAAAATTCATGTAAAAAGTATTATAAATGAGAATGAAATTATATTTTGCCATAATACAAATAGAAAACAGTGACTACGAGCTCAATTCCATTCATACCTTCTTATCCTTGCAAATAACCATTTACAAAGCTAGTATTCACAACAACAAATGACCACCCAAATCAATACTTTCACAACATAAGTTACCAAACCATGAAAAAGCTAAAAGATTTAAAATCAATTGATTAATAACAAATCCTAACATCAACTCAATTTACCCAATCTCAGACACAGAAATATCAATTTTGTCAATCTTTTAGCACAACATATGTAAGTAATAAAACCAATATTGATTATTAGGAAGTTTAAGGTGTCTATACTAAATTCAATAGATATACACACTATGTAAATAAAAGCATGTCCCTAACGTAAGAAACCCTAAAAACACAAACCTTCTTAGGAAGCAAAAGGTTGTGAATGTTAGACATAACACCGCCATTAGCAATGGTGACATCACCGAGAAGCTTGCTCAATTATTCGTCGTTCCCAACAGCTAATTGGATGTGCCTTGGGACGATTCTAGTTTTCTTGTTGTCCCTTGCTGTATTTCCAGCTAACTCGAGAACCTGTAATCAATCAATTTCACGATTTGAATGTTTTTGATGGAAATATGAGAAACCCTAAAAATTATAATACGATTAAATTAGAAAAAAAATGGATCAAGGAAATCACCTCAACCGTTCGGTACTCAAGAACGACAGCGAGATACACAGGAGCTCCGACACTGACACGCTCAGCGTACTTTTCGGCTTTGAGGAAACGAGCGATACGATCCCTGGAGGGTTGGTTCCCGATTCTGATTTCGATTTTGAAGTCGTTCCCTACAACAACGATCTTGTCATCTTCGAACGTGGGTGGGTTAGGATTGATCGTCGATAAGAGATTGAGATGTGTATAAGTATAGAAGCGGGAGGGATATGATTTTGTCGATGTCGATGGAAGAGGTAGGTTTTAAAAAAAAATAGACATCTTGAGATCCAACCTCAGCCATATATTTCTCATTTGACGCTCTAACGAGATATGCATAATCATGAATGATGTTAATAGACTGAGTAATCATATATGATTATGATAGTTGCTGGCAGAAGATGTGGTGGTGACAGAGGTGACGGTGATATAAGTGAAAAATATGACAATGGTTGGGTTGGCTGGTGTCAAAGGTTGTGGTGGTAGTGGTGGTAACAGTTGTGGCGGTGGGATGTAGCGGATGAGAAAGAAACAGACGACGCTATATAATCAATTATGATTATAATAGACATGTCACGTCGGTACGCCGACAATTAGAGCACCAGATGTAAAATATATGTCTGAGGTTGAATCTCAAGATCTTTATTTTATTTTATTTTTAATCTCAACGGAATATATATATATATATATATATATATATATATATATATATATATATATATAGGTTCTATGGAAAACAAAAATTCTAAGAAAAACCCAAAAATCATAAAAACGCATAAAAAATACTTAGAGATCACAAATATTTTTTTACTTTATATTCTTTACTACCACACGTTTTTATATAAATTCACTAATTTTTTTTTGGAAATAAACCAAATAAATAAAAAATAACTAAAATAAAATAAAAAATAAAAATCGATGTTTGAAACTATTTTTCAGCGAAATTATTAACAAAACTGCGATTTTTTAGAATATAAAATCAAAAAATATTTGTAATATCTAAGTATTTTTTTATCTATTTTTATGATTTTTAAGGGGTTTTTTCTTTGTTTTCAAATAACTTTCATATATATATATATATATATATATATATATATATATATATATATATATATATATATATATATATATATATATATATATATATATATATATATATATATATATATATATATATAAAATACTAGAAAAAAAGGAGATAAAAAGGTGGAGGATAAATAGGATATGCTCATCTTGTGAGAAGTGGGAACCACACGACATCACCAATTGGGACCGCGTCATCTGGTTATTTGACCCCCATCTCTTTCTGGTTTGATGATAAATAAACGAAAACGACAGCTCATTTAAAAGAAGTACGTAGAAAAGACATAAAATACGATTTTTAATCCTATATTATAAAATATATTAATCAACTTTAAGACAATAAGTTTTAAAGGTTTTTTTTTTTTTTTATAAATTAATTATATATAAATAAATCATTAATATTTGTTAAAAGTTTGAAGACTTGAATTAATGAAGATTCTTAGAAAATTCCATTTGAAACAAAATAAAAATTTTAAAATATTAAATTTATATACATAAATTAGTTTATAAATCTTAAATAAACACAAATATTAATTAATTTATATCAATAATATAAACACATAATATCAATATAAAATCTAAACATAAATATTTTATTTAAAAGTGGTATTTTTATATTACATGAAAACTAATAATAAAATGTAATGGTTATTTCTCCGTAAGAAACTATTCAACAAAAATAGTTATTTATCACCATTGATTTGTGCGAACACATGTAGTTTATAATTAAAACTTTCAAATGCATATCTTTTTTATATGTAATTTGTCTATTAATAAAAGCATTTATATATAATCATCTCTAAAAAGGTAAAAGAGAGACGTTAGCTGATTCAATTGGAGAGTAGCTTTGTTAAAGTTGGTTAATGTCTTAAGACCAATTTCAGTCGTACCGCTAAAAATTATATTATTTTTGTGTAAAACTAAACAAAAACTTATTTTATACTAAAAAATTACATTAAAATATACTTTAATATTATAAAATATAAAATAATAATTATAAAACCTAAAAACCAATTAAAATAACCATTTAAAAAACTTATTTTATACTAAAAAATTACATTAAAATATACTTTAATATTATAAAATATAAAATAATAATTATAAAACCTAAAAACCAATTAAAATAACCATTTAAAAAAAGTGTTTTGATATTATAAATAATTAGATTATGAAACGCGTTAAACGCGAGGGAACCCACACAGAAAATATAATTATATATAGATATTGCAAAATAATTATAAAAAATCAAGGTTATTGGTATTATTGAAATGTGTAGAAAACATACTGAAGTTGGTATATATATATATATATATATATATATATATATATATATATATATATATATATATAGTCGTTGAAGGACTTATTCGTAGACAATATTTTTTGTTTTATTAGTTGAACGATATTGCTCATCACAAAGTACCTTCAAACTTTTTTTACTTGTGACATCGGAAACATCTATATATAGTTAACCATGCGTGAAAATGAGTCAACGCAAGTATAATCCAACATTGACAATGTACTTTCAAAATACATTGTTATTTCATGGTTATATTGCAAAAGAGAATTGTTTATTTCAAAAAATAACAACTTATTTATGTTTATTCGAAAGGAACCACATAAACCCCCGATAATTTTAAATATAAAGAAACTCTAACAAATAACTATAAAAACAGTTATGTTTGATCGATTTAGATATTGCCCATGACTCATTCAAAATGTCAAAATACATAATTGATACACAATTTACTTGTTATTATGAGACAAATTAAACAATTTAAACACATTATGATTTCTTTTTTTATTTTATGATAATGATAAAATAATGGAAAAATGAATGCTTACTTCAAGACGTATGTGGATAGGGATGAGCGTAACCGGGTATCCGCCTATTTTTGCTGGAATCAGAACCGCTCTCGGAACCGGCGGTTCTTAAGTTTTTGGAATTGGAACCGAAACCGCCTACACCGATTCTTAAAAAATTGGAACTGCTCCCGGAACTGTCGGAACCGGTTCCGATTCCAGGTACTCGGCTTCTTAAATATAAAGCTTTTTATTTATAAATTATAGAGTAAATGACATGGATATTAACATTTACAAACATCAGAAGTAGAGGATATGAAAATAAAACAATTATAAAAACTTGGTCTTTTACATAACAACCTATTAAAATTTAAAAACACTTCCCACAATAAAAAAAACATCGTAGAAAATATTTCTCATCAAGAGAAATTTAACAAGTCTAGATGACAAAATTACAAACAATAGGGTTACAAAATAAATAATCCTCATTAAGAATAAAAAATTAAGGAACACTTTTTTCTTCCCAGTTGGTTGTTCAGAGATTGTAACTTCTTCCATCTCCTTGAGCTGCATTGTAGCACCTGGTTCCTGGTATGTATGACTTATCTAAGTAATTTACATTTTTTTAGCCTTGGACTCGGCGAGTTGTAGGCCCGACTCGCCGAGTAGAGTCGGGATTTTGAGCACGTTTAAGTTGGCAACTCAGCGAGTCCACATTCTAGACTCGGCGTGTCCCCCTATCTGGATGAAACCCTGATTTCAAGGGTTTGCACCCTATTTAAATCAACCTTATGCGCCCCAAGCTCGACTCCTTCACCCTCAGAGCTCCTTATATCGACCTAACCCCCTTTTCTTGTGAGATTGAAGTGTTTTGGTGTGATTTTTTGAAGATTTTGAGAGAAGAAGGAGAGTAGATCAAGAGGAGAAGCAGGAGGCCAGATATCTTGGTGTTATTTCAGAGATTCATTGAGGTATAACTCAGTTTCCTTCTATTTTTATGCTTAAAGCCCCTTAGAACACCATTAAAGTCATTCTTGTGCCATTTTGCAAGCTTGATTATGGATTAGGGATTGTAATGAGTTGATTAACCTCTAGATCTAAACTTGTTTGAGCTCCAGAAGCTCAGATCCATGTCCTTTATGGGAGTAAATCGCTTGAATGTCCTAGATCTACCATTTTAGCCTTTATTAAGCCTTAAATCCCCATCCTATGCATGTATACACGTAAAGTTGGAAACTTTATGTGTAAAGCCTACCCTAAGAGCCCAGATCTATGTATGGTATGAGCTGGATTCAAGCAGAATCGAGTATATAGTAATTGCATCTGAACGACTCAGCGAGTCGTTCATCGGACTCGACGAGTCGAGTCGCAAGTCCCCGAGTTTTCCCCTTTTTCGTGTTTGTTGAGTGGAGTTGTGACTCATGGGTGAACTCAGTGAGTTGTAAGCCAGACTCATCCGTGGAGGGACTTGGCGAGTCGATTCCCTGACTCGGTGAGTCCAAGGCAATCTTCTTACCTCAAGAACAGACTCGGCAAGTTGTTCATACAACTCGGCGAGTCGCAGCTTAGAGTGTTCATCAGATGAAGATGAACTTGACGAGTTGTTCATGCAACTCGGCGAGTAGGATGAAGGACTTTTTGGGCATCAGTTTAGAAGGAGAACTCGTCGAGTCAATGCCTAACTCGACGAGTAGAGACGGGATTAAGGACAATCGAATGGGTAGGGACTCGATGAGTTGGCAAGCCAACTCGGCGAGTCGGGTCAACTGGAAGTTGACTTTGACTTGGACTTTGACCTGGTCAAGGGTAAAATGGTCATTTTACCCTAAGTACAGCTAGCAGCGTTTGACTGATCGTTTTGTGGGAATTATAGCCGGAGGATTTTCGGAGCAGCAGCAGCGGCAACAGTCAAAGGATTCGCGCACAGTTCAGCAACTACTACGAGGTGAGTTACCTTCCAGTAGCGGTGGGTTTAAGGCCACAATGCCAGCCCACCAGTAGGAGACGTATGATAGATGATTGTATTTGTGATATCATATAGGTTTGCTACTAGCTGATATGTTATATGCTATATGTTGTATGTGATAGTAATAGAGTTCGGTTGTTAGGACCGAAGGGTAGTCAGACACCCCAGATACGTCTGATAGTATGTGATGATATTTTTGCATGATGGCCTGTTATGTTATATGCGATAGAGGTGGTAGGAGGGGACCAATCCCCGAGTTCGGTTGTTAGGACCGAAGGGTGGTTCAGGTACCCCAGATATGTCTGATATTATGTTTGTGTTATGTTATATGTTATAGTAGTAGTAGGGGGTGAAATAATCCCCGAGATTTGGTTGTTAGGACCGAAGGGTAGTCAGCACCCCATAATAGCTCGATATGGGTAGGTCAGCGCCCCAGAATGGCTTGACACAGGAAGGACGACACCCCAGAATGGCCGTATCGGGTAGGTCAGGCACCCCAGAAATGCCTGGCAGTATGTATGTGATATGATTGTATGGTATGTGGTACGATGGGGGAACTCACTAAGCTTCGTGCTTACAGTTTACAGTTTTGGTTTCAGGTACCTCTTCGTCGAAGGGGAAGGAGCTGGCGCGGTAGCGGCACATCATACACACACACACACAGTTTTCCGCATTTATGCGATTGTTCTGGGGTTTATACTCTGACATTTGATTGATTACATGTTTTGGTTTTCAGACATAGTAAATGTTTATGAAATGGTTTGATCAGACAATGTTTATTTGCAAATGATTTTACTAAATATTGATTGAAAAATGAAATTTTTGGACGTGAAAAATGGGTTGTTGCATGCATCAATAAAACAAGAACCATTAATATGCAAAAAAGAAATTATGAATCATATAGAATATTAAAGCATAGTAGTATTCCAAAACCTGAATGCTTGCAGCAACAACCATGACAACACAAGTGATTATCTTTCATTTTTCTGTTTGTTTTTTTATGTAACAGATATAGAAATCAGGAGATTCAGACAAGTTTCACAAGTGATTATCTTTCATTTTAACAGAAGGCAGTAACAGGTTCAACTTTCTCAAAGCTTTTATTTTTTTATATGGGAATATAGAAATTATGAAGATAGAAATGATGCATTGGAACTAAAATATTTGTACCTAAGGTTGTTTACCAGCTCCTAGAAGTGCAAGTTACATCAAATTCGTCTCCTCACCAAATTCGTTATGCTAGCTAACAAGTAACAAAATGAAACAAACCACAACCAACATCAGTATAAATTTAAGTCAAGGTAAAACATAAGCTAATATTAGGACCTGAAACCTTAAATAAATTCAAGCAACCTATGGAGCATTGGCTATGCTCTGAACCCAAAAAATATTGAATTAAATTGAGTAAATGAGAAACTTGAGTAAGAAAGATTTTGGGTCAATACCTGGTTTGCGAAGATATCCTTAAGCACAAGTAACTTGATGAAATTGGCGATTAAAGAAGAGCAATACGCCTCTTGGCAACAATGTAACATCAACCATAGTTAGCGATATTCACAATGAAAAGGGCAAAATAACGATTCTGCTAGAAATTACCTGATTTGGTGGAAATTATTGGGAATAAGAGAGATGGCCTGTGCGAGCCACCAAGTTCATAGAGATTGAAGGATGGAATGATTAGGTCAAATGAGGAGTTAGAACTAGTAATCAAGCGATGTGAGAGACGAGGGAGAACCTAAGTAGGGATGATCAGAGCGACGTGGTACTCACAATGGTCTACTCCAGCAAATCAATCGACGTGGTCCACCGTCGTCTTCTACATTTCTTTAATCGATGTGGTATTTTCCTATTTGGGGCAAACTGGTAATGTGAGAGACAGAGAGATGAAGGAGACAAGTGAGTTTCAAGTCCTGGACGATGACTGGTTTGAGAGGGGAGAGAGGAGAGTGACGAGAAGAAAGCGGCGTTTTTTTAAGAATGAAAATCTAAAACCCTAAAACGAATTTGGTCTAAGTAACGTAATCAGTATAACCTTATATTTTTTAAAAGCTAACCAAAATATAAAAATTTAATATATATATATATTTTTAGAAAAATGCGGGTACCCGTCGGTACCGGTTCTGATTAACCGCCGGTTCCGGGTACCCGACATTGGAACCGGAACCGGCGGGTATCGGTTTCGTAAAAATGAGAATTGGAACCGGAACCACTTAAAGTAGTTCCTAAACTTTAGGAACCGGAACCGCCTAAAGCAGTTCTGGTTTCGGAACCGGCAGTTCCGAGGTGGTTCTGATTCCGAAAGCAGGTACCCGCTTCCGCTGCTCATCCCTATATGTGGACATTTGAGTAAGGTCGATGGTTTTAACTGTTGAGTATTTTTATCTTTTACATATAGCTATTAAATGGTTATTCAAGATTAATTAAAAGTTCATTGCTATTTCTTACTGATTTAGAAGTATATTTCAACCATTTTTGCATCAGATAAAAAACATTTATGTTCTTTTAGTATTACTACAATCCTACTTTCATATAAAATTACTTTTTCGCATAAGACTAAACTCGGTATTTTTTAAGCATTATTATCATCTTATATTATACATTGTTGATAGTTTTGAAGAGTTCGTTGCAATTTCTCATTTCTTTTTGAAACCGTTGTTATTTCTTGTTGCTTTTAAAAATAAGTTTTAGACTACTTTTTTGTATCAACAAAATTTGAAGGTTATTGTTGCATTATTTCCATCGTATATATTCTATTTCATTTTTATTATTTGAATATAATTTTTGTAGTTCAAAAACGATACGAATATAAAAATACTGACTATATATTAACCGACTCTTTATAATGTATAATTAAAAATCAAGACACCATAATCATAATTTATTGATGTTAGTTAAAATGTAATTTATTTGGAGATGAGGTTAGTTTTTGGTATTTATTTAGGAAATATAATATATATTTTGTATTACAAGTGCTTATCTCTTAAATTTAATATTTGTTACTTCAGAATTTTATTTTGGCTTGACATTCATTAAATTAAGATTTAACATTTTTTTAAAAAACAAATATAGACAAGAAACTATTGAGTTACTATTAAAGTCAATGGATATGCTAAAAGATACATGAGATTTGCTTTTGTGAGATCAATAATACCAAATTGGATCACTTTTTGCAAAATAATTTAAGTACCGAAGAAAACCTGATTGCCCAAATATATAATATCATTATTTAAGCCATAACCTGTTATATGCCGACAAAATTGAAAATTTTAACCGAAACTCTGTTACATGTCATCAAAGATGAAAAAAGATCATTTAAAGTTAGATGAGGGTATTAATTTAAAAAATTGTCTTTCACTTTTCGTTAGATGTATTTTTTGTGACATGAACAATTATCAGTCCAAACATAATCTGTAAAAACCATCATAGCCAAATCATAGACTGCTTAATCAACAAAATAGAATACGACAGTAGTATATGGTAATCTACTTAGAAAATATTTTTCTAAAAGATCAAGAAAGCGACAATTTATTATAATCTTATCACGCTGATAAAAATCATAACAAAGTGCAATAGATTGAATCAATAGTTTACAATAATAATAATAATAATAATAATAATAATAATAATAATAATAATAATAAAATGAAGCCCTATCAGCGATAGAAAAACCTAAGGACGAGACAAAAAAACAAGTCACACTACGAAGTTACAAACATCAAAAACACATGATGCTAAAAATTTAGAAAAATAAAATAAAATTTATACCTAGTTGTGAAGTGATCGTAGAGAAATTGTGTCAGATTCTTTGACACATTTCGTCAAACACCTAAGGTGTATATTCTAATAACTCATCTTTTGAATGTAACATGACAAAAAAAATCCAATGTTACAGGAAAATATATGAAATGAACTAAATTAACATGTATTTAGATTATGCATTTATTTTGAACAATGTTCCTTATATTTATTAATGTTTCATTCATGCATACAAAGTTTAATAAAAAAATGTTAATTGTAATTATGCAATTTGATTCTAACATATAAAAACGACCACATAGAAAATTTAAGAATCAAATAAAAAATTTGTCTATAATACGGTAAATCTTATATTTAAGGAAATAAGATCATTCTTAGTTTAAATTCCAACTTCTTAGCCTACTTTTGATATAATTCATGTATTAATATGAAGGTAAGAATGTTGATATTAAGTGTTGTATATTGTTGTTACCGAAAAAAATTGAAGTTGTAGTTTAAATTAATAGTTCTTTTTTCATGGTAAGTATTTTGCGATAATTTGTAAAAAAATAACATAGCCATTGCAATTTATAGAGGTTGTTGAGGATCGAGTACAAGTTATTAGGTTAATCATTTAATATGAAAAGTTATACATTGTTTGTTTGATTTAATGATGTAATATGTTAATCCAAAAAAAACCTTATGCGATGTTTTATGAGATTTCAAAAAGAGAAATATAATTTTCTTAGTCGTAGTAAACAATAGTTGAAAGGTTGTATTTACTCTATAGAAACATATACAAATTAGAATAATTATAATATAACATTTTTCGGGATTAAATTGTTTATAAACTTCATCACCTTAATAGTGAATAAAAAATAAATTAAAAGACATTTACAACACGAAAAAATCACAACAGGTTATTGTTAAAAATGTTATAACAATGTAATTTACACGTACATTCCTAGAAATGGTTTAATATGAAGTTATTATATTCAACAATAAAGTTAGAAATAGTAACCAAGTTGAGATAGTCAAACAAACAGAAATAGTAACAACATCCAATTTGATCCATTTTTAAATTAAATTACCGATTTACCCTTATGATGAACATAGTCCATGCTAAATTAATGATTTAGCCTTCGGATAAAAAATGGAAGTATCATGCTAAAAAATCATTTTAGTATACGTGTCATCTATTGTTGAATTTCTTTTCCGGCCTAATGTTTTTCTTGTTTCCTAAGTCGAATTACTCTTTTGCCCTTATGTTTCCTTACTTAAAGGTTTCTTGCATCTAATTTGGAATCAGATTAAAATAAATCACATAAATTTCGGAGTTTATTGATACCTTCAAAAGGTAAATTCGAATCTTCATTCTTTATTCTATCACAAACAAAATTACCTTTTGTCCCTAAACCTTAAAATCATACTTAACATTTAAAAAAAAAAACATCTAACAGTATCAGTAACCTTTAGTTATGATTTCAATTTAAAGTTAGAAATGTTGTAATTCAATATCATATTAAGATATTAATTTACATTCAAACACTAAAAAAATATCTTTATTCCTATTATACCCCTATCCTCAATTTTCTATTTTGTATTACCATATATTTATCTTAACAAATTATTTAAGTTCTATATCAAGATTGCAATCCTTGTAATTCAGCCAACAAATTAAGATATTATATAAAATCAATAATAGTAACCAGGTTGAGATAATCAACCAAACATAAATAGTAGCGGCTCACGATTTTATCAATGTTTAAATTAAATTACTGACTTACACTTCTGATGAACATTATACATACTAAATTAATGATTTACCCTTCGGATAAAAATATAGATGTATCATGCTAAACGAATACACAAAAAAATTGATTGTCATGAATAGGAAAATGGGTAGGGTGCATTTGTCATTCTGTCAAAGTACTTTGCTATATTATGTTTTAACTGGTTTCCATCAAAGCACATTATTTTTTCTGGATTAAAGGTAAGTAATAGCTTTTCTTATTTATTTGAAAAGTTTCATAAAAGTTGTTAATCGATTTCATGTAAGTTGTGACAAATAAAATCGAAATATATATATATATATATATATATATATATATATATATATATATATATATATATATATATATTTGATACAGGAACAAAAAAAATAAAATATATATATAAAAAAGCGAAAGAAGGTACCGACCTTCTAGTGCACAACAACGAATGTTTGAAGCAGAGAATGATGATCAAAGTTATAAGCAATAAGAATGATGTTGTAGGAGAAGGTTTGAAAAAAAAACAATGATTGAAAATAAGCGTGAGCTGCAGATTCAAGGATGAATCGTATATGTATGTGATAATTTGAATTTGATTTTTTGGTATTAATGGTTTCTAATAAAAATGGATTTTATATTAATGATTTGCTAATATAAAATATTTAATGCCTTAATTAAAATGGTTTTTGGTAATATGTTTTTAATGTTGACCATTTTAAAATCTTTATAACTGGAAATTCAAGATTTAAAATATGAAAAGTTTTTATTAAAATTAAATACATTCCATTTAAATGGATCTAAGTTAATTTTGTTTGAAAATTAGAAAGTTTTTATTGGAATTAAATACATTCCTTTTAGGAAGATGATGTCAGCAGTTTGATCTAAGGGTGGAAAACATAGGATTGAAATACAATTAAGGGAGTTAATGAGCTTTTTAAAAAGAAAAAAACAAAACACGTTTGAATTATGAAGCCAAAAACTATAATTAAGGGAGTTAAATTATTAACATTATTAATTAGGGTTAATGATGGCATACATTCTCAAAAGATGTCTTGAAGGAGATGCTTACTTCATTTTGTAGAGATTTGTGTGAAGCCAAAACAGAGGTGTCATAATTGGAGATGCAAGGAAGAGGCAATACACAAATTCTAAGAATACATTAGCAAAAAGGAACCACTTTATGGTGCTACATTCTGTTATGAACACACAAAACATCAATTGAAGCACAACCATTGACATGAGGACGAAGAGGATTAGGGAATTATGGTTTAAGAGAAAAAAAATAAAGGAGAAAAATAAGCGGTTATTCATGTTTCTGGTCAGATTTATGGAGAAACTGATACTTCATATATAAATAGAATGATATGTTTCAATTTATAACATAATTGTTCATTTTAAAGATTCTATAATTAAATGTAATTATGCTCGAATTGTGAAATATATTTTAGAAAGTATGAATAGATTTTATAATTAAAGATTCTATAACTAAATGTAATTGTGTTTGAAATTTAATTGCTAAATTTAAAGATTCTATAATTAAATGTTTAAATTCTATTTTGAGAAGATGATGTTATCAATTTGATCTAAAAGTGAAAATCATTAGATTGAGATACAATAAAGGGTTCTAATTGTTTCATTGGTGAATTAAGAGTTCTTTTTTAATAATATTTAGAGATTAAAGATGTTTTCTATATATATAGAAAGACCATAATTCTTCCACCAAAATAGATGACAATTTTAATAGTTGATTAGAGCATTTTTAACGTCTATCACAGTAAAGGTCCATTGGTCTAAAGAGTCGGTTTTAGGTTGCCTAAAC